TATATATATATATATTTATTTGTATAGAATATATCATATAATAATCTTAATAATTAATTGTTAACAAACGCGCGTTACAATGCTCATTAGATAATATATCGATGTATCACTCTTGACAATATTACAAATTGCGTGAATAATGCAATTGTATACGATACACAAGAGAGAACCGCAGGAAACTAACTCACACGGTAGTCGAGATAGGACTACTAAATAAAATGAGACGCTATTTGAAAAAGTAGTGCCAGAAAACCTTGACCGAGGAAAGGAAGTGTGAAGTAAAGGAGATTCTTGGCGCGCGAGCTCGTCCATCTTTGTTTGCAGCACACGATCGCACAAAACAACTGCTAATCGTACGACGTTTATATATGCGACGACGTATAATGTTACTTCTCGAACACGGCGATTTCTGCGAAGATAAGATAAGCGCGTATTCCTAGAAAGCACAGAGACCCTTAAAGGAGAAAGAATGAAGCGATACGTTCAACACTTATTTCGTTTCTCAGCAGTCAGATTGTCGTATAATGATTCAAAAAATATACGTCGAATTCAATAAATACGCTAAAGTTTCACGTCCTGTACCATCTGACACCATAGATTATTGCGTCAAAGTTTTCATCTAGAGATTATTATCAATCATTATTTCTTGGAAACGTAAATTGACACAGTATCAATATTTATCGCATTTAAAACATGCTATTCCAAATTCTCTACTGCTATGTATATTGTATCGCGTTTGAGAGATATAGAACTTTTCTTTATTCCAACAAACAAATTAATATGTAAAGATATTTGATATTAACAATTTTAGCAACATTGCTATAAATTTTAAAGTGAGAAATAATTTGTGTTGCATAAATAAAACAATAAGTCTTCCTTTCTTTTGAAATATATATCTGTCTAGGCGTTGATAAAACTCAATAAGCAGTAAGTATAAGTTGTAAAAGACTATTATACATTATACAATTGTTATTGCATTATTTTCTGTTTTAAAGCATTTATAGCAATGTTATGCACACGTTATAATCACATTGGGTTCGAACGTAATTATATAAAAAATTATACGAAAGCAACAAATGCATTACATACAATTTCTATCACTCGGAATACATAACCTATGTAAATTTCAAAAAATTCGAAGAGAAGATACTCTTACAATTAGACTGAATCGTTTACCCACGAAATTATAAAGTCGCAAATTGCAAACCTGATCGCAATCGAAGATATCAAATCGCATCATGTATACAAGGCCGCAAAAAGTTGACGGTTGAATAATATCGATACGCGAAAGAAATACGTTACGTGAATTTAAAACTATATACCTATATACATACACGTGACGTCATACATGACGAGTGCGCTTTCAAACTTGAAGATAGCTTCCAGATCAAATGCATCGCGTCTATCGAAACCATAGATGTAGAAAGTATTTATAGAGTGCGCATATCCATTAGCAATACATGCGCCAAAATTAGAAAAAGAACGCAATGTCTCGGAAATATGTTTATCTCTTTTTAACTAGAGAGAAATTGTTCTTATGATAACCATAGTCTTATATTTGAGAAAGAAAAACCAGACTTTTGAGACGTTGCGTTCTTTTTCTAATTTTGGCGCAATATTTATTCGATACGCGCAGTCTATACTTCCTACGTCTATAGTTTCTACGTATAATCTAAACGAGACTATGTATTCGATCCGGAAGTAGCCATCGTCAAGTATCAAGATATTTATAAGTGTATGTATTCCATAGTCTCGGATCGTTCTCAGGATTAGTGCGTGTATCGCGCAGGAAAGCTAAAGTGGTTTTTAATACGAGCCACACAGAGCGAGGCTTCATGAGACGATAATTGCGCGAAATTATAAAATTGCAAATAACAGAGAGAGAGAGAGAGAGAGAGAGAGAGAGGTGGGCGACGTTTAACTTGTCGGCGCGTGGAAAATAATGATGTGAGGCGTGAGAGATTGACAGGTTATCGCGCGCAATTTCGGGCCGGTCGAGATCGTGTGCGGCGCGCACTTCACAACGAAGCGAGTCGGTGGCTGCGCGGGAGAGCGACGCGCATCGAGTCAGTCGCGCTCCGACCTTCGCCGCGGAAAGTCACGCTGGTGTCTCCTCGGTCTATGTGCGCGTCGTTCTCGATCGCCGTGCCGCGGATTATCGCGCAAGTGTTGTATACGAAGTGAGACGTACACGCCGATTGATAACGCGAGTGTTGTACTCGGTTTAATCGGTTGGTGCAAAAGTACGCCATTACGAAAATTCCATACCGGTCATCGTCCATCACCACGCGCGTCGTCAGAAAGAGAGAGATCATCGGTGGATGCTGTTTACGTCCTCCCAGTTGCCACGAAATCGTTCCAAGGACTGCTTGGTAAGTCATGTCATTCATCACACACACACATATACACATGACATATATATACATATATATGTACGTACGCGTGACAAGTGCGGCGTAGCAAAAAGATTCACGCCGGTGGAATCCGTGTCCCAGATAAGAGCAATGTTCGCGGCGGGAACGTTACGTTTTCAAATCATACATGCATAATGCAATCACGTGACTGCAAGTTCATTCGATACGCGCTCCAATGAAGTTGCCGCAGACGCGGTTTTGTAAAGCGCTACGTAAGAATATTTGATGAAGAAATGTTCCGTTGTCTCAGTCAGATATATATTGATTTTATCCATCTTTTATTTCACGCGAGAGAAAAATTAAAAAGAAAGAAAAAAAAATCTGTCAACGGATTCTAATCGTAGTAATGCGTGTACACTTAATTTTACTAAATACTCCTACAAGTTTATTGCAAAACATGACGTAACACATCGCTTCTAGAGTAAATAAAAACGTGTCAATAAAAATAATAGAAAAATTGCTGAAACTGTTTACGGAAACTGTTTGTCGTCGGTATTTTTAATAAAAATATTTTCCAATATTTATCACACGCGACGTTCCTTTTTACATTCTCTATATCCCGAATAGACATTTTATATAGATATTACAATGAACGATGATGGGAAGAGAGCTATTCTTAGAACCCGGTCAGCATTTTATCATGTGTATGAAGTTGGCATATCAATTGTCAGCATATCAAAAAAAAAGTGGAGTTCTCTTCGCATACAGCCGAGTTCTATAGTTCCTGATAAATTTTAACAATAGTTCTGGTCATTTAACATAAATAACGGAAGTTGAGAAATGATATGCTAACTTCCCGCGAAGTCAGCATATCATATCAATTTTTCGAAATTTACTCCATTGAATTTTATAGTTTTCGACGAGTTCTATAGTTCTATAACATAGTTCCGACCGTAGGCTACCTCCAAAATTTTTTAAACAATTATTTTACCCGAAAAACTCGTATTTTCGAGTATAGAGGTGATATGCTGGCCGTATTTCGAGAGTTCTGATTATTATAAAATAGTTCTCGTGTAGTTCTGAACGTATTAATGCATTTTCTAAAGAGTTCCCATGATAAAAACAATTAAAAAAATTTTTAAACAATTATTTTACCCGAAAAACTCGTATTTTCGAGTATAGAGGTGATATGCTGGCCGTATTTCGAGAGTTCTGATTATTATAAAATAGTTCTCGTGTAGTTCTGAACGTATTAATGCATTTTCTAAAGAGTTCCCATGATAAAAACAATTAAAAAAATTTTTAAACAATTATTTTACCCGAAAAACTCGTATTTTCGAGTATAGAGGTGATATGCTGGCCGTATTTCGAGAGTTCTGATTATTATAAAATAGTTCTCGTGTAGTTCTGAACGTATTAATGCATTTTCTAAAGAGTTCCCATGATAAAAACAATTAAAAAAATTTTTAAACAATTATTTTACCCGAAAAACTCGTATTTTCGAGTATAGAGGTGATATGCTGGCCGTATTTCGAGAGTTCTGATTATTATAAAATAGTTCTCGTGTAGTTCTGAACGTATTAATGCATTTTCTAAAGAGTTCCCATGATAAAAACAATTAAAAAAATTTTTAAACAATTATTTTACCCGAAAAACTCGTATTTTCGAGTATAGAGGTGATATGCTGGCCGTATTTCGAGAGTTCTGATTATTATAAAATAGTTCTCGTGTAGTTCTGAACGTATTAATGCATTTTCTAAAGAGTTCCCATGATAAAAACAATTAAAAAAATTTTTAAACAATTATTTTACCCGAAAAACTCGTATTTTCGAGTATAGAGGTGATATGCTGGCCGTATTTCGAGAGTTCTGATTATTATAAAATAGTTCTCGTGTAGTTCTGAACGTATTAATGCATTTTCTAAAAAGTTCCCATGATAAAAACAATTAAAAAAATTTTTAAACAATTATTTTACCCGAAAAACTCGTATTTTCGAGTATAGAGGTGATATGCTGGCCGTATTTCGAGAGTTCTGATTATTATAAAATAGTTCTCGTGTAGTTCTGAACGTATTAATGCATTTTCTAAAAAGTTCCCATGATAAAAACAATTAAAAAAATTTTTAAACAATTATTTTACCCGAAAAACTCGTATTTTCGAGTATAGAGGTGATATGCTGGCCGTATTTCGAGAGTTCTGATTATTATAAAATAGTTCTCGTGTAGTTCTGAACGTATTAATGCATTTTCTAAAAAGTTCCCATGATAAAAACAATTAAAAAAATTTTTAAACAATTATTTTACCCGAAAAACTCGTATTTTCGAGTATAGAGGTGATATGCTGGCCGTATTTCGAGAGTTCTGATTATTATAAAATAGTTCTCGTGTAGTTCTGAACGTATTAATGCATTTTCTAAAAAGTTCCCATGATAAAAACAATTAAATTGCGTTCTTTTTCTAATTTTGGCGCAATATTTATTCGATACGCGCAGTCTATACTTCCTACGTCTATAGTTTCTACGTATAATCTAAACGAGACTATGTATTCGATCCGGAAGTAGCCATCGTCAAGTATCAAGATATTTATAAGTGTATGTATTCCATAGTCTCGGATCGTTCTCAGGATTAGTGCGTGTATCGCGCAGGAAAGCTAAAGTGGTTTTTAATACGAGCCACACAGAGCGAGGCTTCATGAGACGATAATTGCGCGAAATTATAAAATTGCAAATAAGAGAGAGAGAGAGAGAGGTGGGCGACGTTTAACTTGTCGGCGCGTGGAAAATAATGATGTGAGGCGTGAGAGATTGACAGGTTATCGCGCGCAATTTCGGGCCGGTCGAGATCGTGTGCGGCGCGCACTTCACAACGAAGCGAGTCGGTGGCTGCGCGGGAGAGCGACGCGCATCGAGTCAGTCGCGCTCCGACCTTCGCCGCGGAAAGTCACGCTGGTGTCTCCTCGGTCTATGTGCGCGTCGTTCTCGATCGCCGTGCCGCGGATTATCGCGCAAGTGTTGTATACGAAGTGAGACGTACACGCCGATTGATAACGCGAGTGTTGTACTCGGTTTAATCGGTTGGTGCAAAAGTACGCCATTACGAAAATTCCATACCGGTCATCGTCCATCACCACGCGCGTCGTCAGAAAGAGAGAGATCATCGGTGGATGCTGTTTACGTCCTCCCAGTTGCCACGAAATCGTTCCAAGGACTGCTTGGTAAGTCATGTCATTCATCACACACACACATATACACATGACATATATATACATATATATGTACGTACGCGTGACAAGTGCGGCGTAGCAAAAAGATTCACGCCGGTGGAATCCGTGTCCCAGATAAGAGCAATGTTCGCGGCGGGAACGTTACGTTTTCAAATCATACATGCATAATGCAATCACGTGACTGCAAGTTCATTCGATACGCGCTCCAATGAAGTTGCCGCAGACGCGGTTTTGTAAAGCGCTACGTAAGAATATTTGATGAAGAAATGTTCCGTTGTCTCAGTCAGATATATATTGATTTTATCCATCTTTTATTTCACGCGAGAGAAAAATTAAAAAGAAAGAAAAAAAAATCTGTCAACGGATTCTAATCGTAGTAATGCGTGTACACTTAATTTTACTAAATACTCCTACAAGTTTATTGCAAAACATGACGTAACACATCGCTTCTAGAGTAAATAAAAACGTGTCAATAAAAATAATAGAAAAATTGCTGAAACTGTTTACGGAAACTGTTTGTCGTCGGTATTTTTAATAAAAATATTTTCCAATATTTATCACACGCGACGTTCCTTTTTACATTCTCTATATCCCGAATAGACATTTTATATAGATATTACAATGAACGATGATGGGAAGAGAGCTATTCTTAGAACCCGGTCAGCATTTTATCATGTGTATGAAGTTGGCATATCAGAAACTGTTTACGGAAACTGTTTGTCGTCGGTATTTTTAATAAAAATATTTTCCAATATTTATCACACGCGACGTTCCTTTTTACATTCTCTATATCCCGAATAGACATTTTATATAGATATTACAATGAACGATGATGGGAAGAGAGCTATTCTTAGAACCCGGTCAGCATTTTATCCGCGCGTTGTAAATATAGATTGCTCATTTAAGCGTGCAAATTTTTCATATTCACAGAAGGCAAACATACGCTCCGAAAAATCGGAACGCGCGCTGCCAGTCTTTACTTTCCGGACTGTAAATATGCTGACAAGGGTAGATTTTCGTGGTAAATAGAAGCGCGTATTCTATTCGTGTCAATATTCGCAGTACGAGTGACTGTTTTAACTCTAGAGTTAGTCGATGAATGACGATCTTTTCTTTTTTGTAATCAAACCGGCTAGAATGTGTTATATATAGTCGTATACTTTTACAATGTTTCTGTTTGAACAATCAAATCAATCAATGTTTCATTTTTGTAATTGAAATATGCGGTCGAAATATTTCAATCGCTTTTCATATTGTATATAATATGGAACGAGTGAGATGTTTTTTTTTATATATATAATTTTATTCATTTATTTTTTATTTCATAACGTAAACGAATTTAACGTAAACGATATTAAATAAAAAATATCTGTTGTTTCGAGCTATTCTTAGAACCCGGTCAGCATTTTATCCGCGCGTTGTAAATATAGATTGCTCATTTAAGCGTGCAAATTTTTCATATTCACAGAAGGCAAACATACGCTCCGAAAAATCGGAACGCGCGCTGCCAGTCTTTACTTTCCGGACTGTAAATATGCTGACAAGGGTAGATTTTCGTGGTAAATAGAAGCGCGTATTCTATTCGTGTCAATATTCGCAGTACGAGTGACTGTTTTAACTCTAGAGTTAGTCGATGAATGACGATCTTTTCTTTTTTGTAATCAAACCGGCTAGAATGTGTTATATATAGTCGTATACTTTTACAATGTTTCTGTTTGAACAATCAAATCAATCAATGTTTCATTTTTGTAATTGAAATATGCGGTCGAAATATTTCAATCGCTTTTCATATTGTATATAATATGGAACGAGTGAGATGTTTTTTTTTATATATATAATTTTATTCATTTATTTTTTATTTCATAACGTAAACGAATGATATTAAATAAAAAATCTCTGTTGTTTTGCTAACAATTAGCTGAAAATGAAATGAAAGTGCTGGCAAACGTACCGGGCTTTTGGTATTAAAATCGCTAGTTAAACGTGCTTAGGAAACAAATTTCGCAGATAATCCAAGAAACGACGGTACTCAGCGCTACGTGATCTTTTTATTCTCACGTAGCATCGATCGTATATTTAATCAAAAAAAAAAAAAATATCAAACTGCAATGCGACGAGAACGTGGACTAATGTTTTCCGATTTAAATACCTTGAAATCTAATTACACGCGTACTTGTTTTGACAATGCACGGAGAAAGAGATTACGGACGGTTGAGAGGGGAGAAATAGAGAAAATTCTCTCTGCCGGTTCGTTCCGGTTGTACCGGTTCGAGTCGTATAGAGCCTGCGAAGGAGACGTGTGGATAGACAGACGAGAGAGAGATAGAGAGAGAGAGAGAGAGACGGAGAGAGAGAGAGAGATATAGTTGATTGATAAGAAATCCGTCACGTGTACATTACAACTTCCTCTCTCTGTAAATCCTGCGGTATTCAGAGATAGCGATGCTAATACTTGATCATTAGTAAAATTAATTCTACTATATCTGGATCGTAAAGTAAACTGCATACTGGGGGATTTTTGTGTTTTAAATTCTATCTACATCTTTAATGCATTTAAAAATCTGTAAAGTTTTAATTTTCAATTCCCTTATAATAATTGCAATAATCGTTGTAGCCAATAAGAGTATTTATAAGTATTTATAATTGTTGTTTCTTTTTTATAATTGTGGGAATCACAGAAGAGGAAAAAACAATTGCTTGTACAAAAGAGAAAATTCTAGAAAATAAATTAATAAAAGCAGTTGAGTACTTTTTTTTTTTCTTGGTACTTGGATATATTTGAGAAATTCAGCAAATACAGCAGCGATTGTGAGATTAATAAACTTGTTATGTAAATTATGTATTTGTAAGCGAATTGAGTTATATGCCCTTAAGTAATATGTCGAGCTTGTAAACTAAAATATCCCGCGGGTGTTCTATCTCATTGGAGTACCAAAATATGTACTCCGTACGAGTATTGGGGTACACATGGAGCAGTTACTTTCGCGTTAAAGTAACACGTTTGTGCAACACGCCGACCCCACACGTTTGTGTCTCTCTCATCCCCCTTTCTCTCTCTCTTTCTCTCTTTCCCGGGATATTGCGTGTTGGGCACAATTCGAGGTTTATTCGAGTCTCGGAGTTGTCGTTCCCGCCGAAGCTGGGAGAGTCGCTTCCCCGTAATATCCGTTATTCGGTTCCGCGAGCTCGGAAGTTGCCGCGAACGTTGACGGGATTTATCTCTCTCTCTCGGCCAAAGTTGCCGGGAAAATAAGGCGAGCCTTCCGGTCGTCGCGTTGCTCGTTGGAGCGATGTGACGGGGTTCAAATTCAGGGTCTTATGAAAGAGCTTAGGCATCCTGCTCCGAGATTCATCGGCGCTCGACAGGAGATCGCTGCGCTGTTCCGGGATTAAAGCTGAACGCAATCGTTTCACGGAATTGTAAACAAGTAGTTCTAGTTTGAGAGCGTTTATGCGTGTGAAAAATAAGTGGTGGATAAGAAGATTAATATAAAAAAATAGAGTACTACTATAAATTTCTATAAATTAATTTTTTTTTATAGTTTACTATAAATTTTCGTATATAAATATAGCAGATATTTATATACAAAAATTTATAGTAAAATTTAAAGAGAATCTATATGTAAAGCTCTCTACACTCAAAAAAGTGGTTTTGCAACTACAGCAAAAATTTTCTGGGTGCGCAAAATTAACTGAGGTACATAAATGATTAGCAAATACTGTGATATCGCATATGTTTCGCATTTAATCAATCTAAGTGACAGAGACAGAATTTATATCTGAACTGTTTGTGAAATTTAGAAAGAATGTTTTTCTGTGGCGCCTATCCATGTAAGGCCAATCATACTTGTTATAAAGTTTGACTGTGGTACACAGAAAAAATTAGCGACAAGAAACAAATGAATATATAATCCTCACATATAACATATTTGTATAATGCGCCCAATCTATCTAGCTCTTTTAAACAATTTCTCTCAATTTTTCGATGCTGCAGTTATAATTGGCAGTTATATTTCTCACAAAGATCGTTCTAGCTGTAGTATCGAAACTCATATTTATCCAATGCAGTGATTAACATTTGGCAATGGGACCTAAATTTTCTAGAAGATATTATTAGAATATTGCTGCTATAAATTCTATATGTAACAGACAATATTCTAACAGATACAAAAAATAGCGATAAATTTTTGTTGTGACACCTAGAAATCTACCTATATCAGCAAGACATTTTTTTGAGTGTACATTAGAGTCGATATCTCTGAAAAATAACAATCTCAGAATGGTCATTGAAATACTTTTTGCTGATTATGTTGATTTTTCATAGAATAAAAAAATATCCATTAACAAACATTTTATAACAATATTATCCATTATTCCGGATGAGAAGTTAGCATAAGTAACTCGTCGGAAATGAAATCTTGCATCGTGCACGACAATCGAGGGGAAGCGCAGAAACGTGTAGCGCGATGTTGTTTGAGATTCCGGTTTGAAGGCATTTTGCGGTTTCGTGGTGCGGCGTTAAGTGAATCATACGGGAGAGAGGGACGGTTAGAGCGCGGCGAAATAATTTTCTCTCGTTATGCCGAGCACCGCGACGCGTCGCCGAAAGATTTTAGCGTAACGATTCAGCATAATAGTGTTCTTTCGCATACGTTTCATATTCATCGTGCCAGCGGTCGTCGCGGCCGCCTCGAGGCCGCCCCTTAAAATAATCTCCGCCGCGAATCTAGGCTGCCGCGCTGAATAACGTCGTATCGCGAATACATTTCTAATTTGATTTACCTTGCTCGCCAACGCGGTTCTTGGCGCGATAAATCCACGTCGACGCTACGTAAGGGATCTACCAACAGAGTATTGCAGATCGTGTCGACGGAAAGTAGTAATTTACACATTAATAGTTTAACGAGACATTGTATCAGATTTAATCTTTGGAGAGAGTCTCTTTATAACTCGATATATTTTTATATGTAGAATAAACATAAAATAAGCAG